CCCCCAGGACCAGGGACTATTTTTAGTCCCCTGACCCACCCCCCCACCCTCAGATGAACAAACCCAATCCAGAGAACCTACCCCTTGATCCCACTGCTCCCATCACCACAACTTACTTCAACCAGCTCCCAGCACAGTGAATGCCAGTAAAACCAGTGCTAGGACTGGCTTACAGGATGGGGGGTTTGGCAGGCTTCGCAGGGACTGGCTGGTCCATGGGGGATGGGGGGTTGTCCATCTAGGGGAGGGCTAAAAGACCAGGGAGCTAAAAATATCCCAATGCCAGGGGGACAGGTAGGGGAAGCACAGCCCCAGGGCTGGGGTCAGTGGCTGGGCTTTCCCAGCCCCGGGAATGCACTGTGAACTGTGCAGAAGTTCAGTTAAATCAGGATCACCAGACCCAATCTCAGTTAGACTACATCTGAGGTAAAGTTAACTTAGATCTGGTTAGCCATTTTAGACTGATCTAACCTTCCTGAACTTCTGTACAGTTTGTGCTTAGTTCCCTAGTTAGGTCAATCTAAGTGCAAGGCCTGTACCTGGGCAAACTAACTTAGATTGGGTGGCCATTTTTAATGCAATTTAACCTCCTGCTAAACTCCCTGAATGTCTGCACCTAGCCCTAGAACAGTTGCTCTGCTGATGAAGAGCTCTGGCTGCATTAATCTAAGTGGGATGTTTTTAGACTCAACCTTATTCCTTCAGATTACCTGGATTTTACAACGTGTTCCTGGTCAACGAAACAGCATTTCAAGAACAAAGTAGTGACACAGTTGAGCCAAAGTTTCAAACATTTCAATTTCCATTTAAGCACCATAAAACAGACAAGTGCTCAGCACACAGCATCTTCATTTCTGATATATAGATTAGGTCTGTATCACCACCATGATGTGCCCAGCAGAGCTGCTGCAGAGTCTACCTGCCCATCACATCCACTCCACATGCTTCAATTCCCAAATTGAGGCAAAATAGCCACTTTAAAGTGGCAATGAGTATGCACCCAGCACTACCTCTAGGGTCTGTCTCAGGCATGCCAGTCAGTATACCTTGCCTCATTTCTAGGATTTGTGTGCACAGTGAGAATAAGTGAGGTGGACCTGCTTCACAGTGACTGTCCTAGAGGTGGCATGGAGGCACTGTAAGCATGCCTTAAGACAGATTTTCAATAGATCCAAACAATCCTGCTCTCTTTGAAAAAAGACTTCTTATTTTGGCACGTAAATTGGAAGCTCTTGCAGTAATCTGATCCCAACTATAGTGGCTGAGTCCTCGAATATCTGGTCCACAATGCAGTGAGCTTTTATTCTATTATTCTTATTTATTCTTAAATATTCATGCATTTGCATTTTTGCTAATTATTTCTACTTGGATGCCAGGGCAGCATTTATAACACATGGTTCACATAACACTTAACTAAGCATATTGATGATGCTTAACTTTCATCAGTCTTTACTTACTGTTATAACATGGTTTACTGTCTGGAATGGGTTGATTTTAGTTGACACTTCATCAGAGCCAATATCAGGTGTGTTTGTTTCTGAAATGATGGCTTCCTTAAAAAAATAAGCACATAGAATGACCATCTTTATTTTCTAGCTACAGTTAATATAAAGGATGAGTAATTCCTTCTCACTCAAATCCATTTAAACAGTGTCCAGATGCATTACAGAATTTCACCAGGATGAATTCAAACAGACTGGTGATTACTTTCTTGTCTTTCCCTAATTGACCAAATACATGTGTTTGAATTGTTGATAAGGATAGATCAACAAAGAAAACTTGTAAAATATTAAGCTAAATGAAAAATTTAGTTGTTTAAACAAGGACTTGTCCTGTGACCAAGAATTAAAACTTCCTTTAATATATTTTAATGCATCTATTCCCTTTCATCTCACTAAAAAAACAGGACCTTTTCCCACATTCCTCAAGAATATGCATCGTTCTGCTAATAGTGCCATCTTATGGTATCTAGAGAAAATACAACTATTGGTTGAAAAGAGCAGCAGATCACAAAAGAGGATTACTTCCCTTTCCCATTCTTTATTTTACATTGACAACAAATAAAAAAAAATTGCTAACATATTTTAAATCACTCCATAAAGTCTAAAGAACTATAATTCATGAGATCACAGTGTAGGCTTTAAATAGAAACCCCTGGCTTCACACAGTAATTCTGCTTAAAAAATAAGATGCTGCTGCCACCACACAAGCATCGCAGACACAGCAGCAGCATAGGCTCCACAGAGTCCATCATCCTGATAATCCATTTAAATACACATCTGGGTCTGTGCCCTACCTGGCCACCTCTAATTAAACTGCTCTACCTGAAATCCTGCGTCACAATGCCCCCCAACTATACAGTTGGTTCAATGAAAGGTATAACCAAAAAACCTCATTTCTCATGTATTTCCTAGACCATCACTGCTACAATAACACTACAAACCTCCTAAATATATATATAAGAGTAGCAGAGAACATATAGTAATGAGAAAGAGATGCTTTCATTTTTCAGATAATCCTTTCCTGATTAAATATATACAGGTTTTGTTTTTCAAATTTTCAGTTTGTCAAAAATCTCTTTTCTTGCTGAAAAGAACAAGCAACCTTTATTCATGGGCTTTTCCTATGTAGTTATCCTATGGTAAACTCCTATACACGTTAATAGAAAATTCTAAACTTTGCACAGAATTTTTAATAACATCTGTGCAATTCTACTTCAGGGATGTAACAGTATTTTCTTACATACTACACATACCCAAATAAGATACTCACCTTGTTCTGAGAAAGCAGGAGTAAGAAAAAATATTTTTCCAGAACTATGGCTGAATTTTTATTGCAGGGGATCCTGACACATGGCTGAATCCTGACTGGTGCTACTTGGGCAAAAGCTAAAGTGTTAACCCCTCTAGCAGCCAATGGTGAATTGATTGTAGCTGTTTGCTGCTAAGCCAAAAGGTGCTACTCCACCCCCAACCTCACAAGGGGTAACATCAACTGCCTCCGTTGCTGAAGATGACAGCCATTTTATAACATTTCCATGCTCCCATTCCAGCATGGAAAATCATCTTCCTTGCTTAAGACAGGCACCCCAATTTTGGAGGGCTGACTTTTGGAGAAAGGGTGTGTGTGATATGCGAGTAAATACAGTTGTAATCTATTCAATTCAACTGAGTATCTTTAAAAGGCAAACTTCAAAAATTGTAATTGTTTGTATTAGTTCTCTTAAGATTTTGCTATGAGTTAGAAGCAACCTAATGAAGGCAGCTTAATTTACATACAGAAAACTTTATTTATCCCAATTCAAAATGAATAAATAGTATTAATTCTAGCAAGAATAGAGTTTTAAAAATATCAGGTGAAGGACAAGATTTGGAGAAAATTGGTAAGGAATAGTAGCATCAATGAGCCAGATTCATTCCAAGATAACCCTGCTACACACACACACACGCACGCACGCACACGTGTGCAACCTTGTCACACCTTGTGCTGTGAACTGCACCAATATTGATCAGTGTTAATGCTAGCTTGGAGTTCAGAGCAGTCATACCTTTAGTCTAGAAACCTTCTCTGACTGTCCCCCACTTACACAGCTGTGAATTGCCACTAGAGGCCTGGTGAGCAGGGGCAGGACTAGGAGCTGTAGCTGTGAGTTGTCACTAGAGAGCTGGTGAGCCAGAACAGGCTTTTATCCTTGCTCTACAGGCATCCTGGGATACTGGAGGACTTCAATTTGGGTGGCACAACTGTGGAAAGTGGATACACCTTAATGGAACAGGAGCTTGGTAGTGCAGATAAAAGATAAACCTGCCCTGGAGTGGCATAACTTTGAGCCACATAATGAGCATTTAAAACTGCTTTAAGGTGTAATGTGCAGGCAATTCATGGGTAAAGAGCTCCAGGAGATGCCCAAAATTACCGTGCAACAAAGGGCTCACATGCTGGGGATTTGTATGACTCAAATGAATGGGAGGCACTGCTGAGCCCCCACCCTTGCAGGTACAGCAGTCCATGAGATATGCCTATGGCTTAGTATATATCTGAAGCTTGCACTAATGAAACTACTATAATCTTGTCTTTACCAAGGAAAACATTCTTTAAGGGAAACAAGAAAGTTTGGCTGAAATTACGCTGGAGCTACTTTGGTGAATTCTAATAAATCTAGTAGAAGTCAATAAGAAACACAGTAGGTGAATCTACAAGTACTATTAATGCACCTGAGTAAACTCTGGTGCAATGTGTGCCAGAGTTTAATGCTCACAGGCACAGCACTTACACATGAGCTTGGGACCACAGCATATTGAGCTAAGGCAGAACAGCCCCAACTGGCAGGGGGCCATACGTGGCAAGGTGAGGTTAACAGAGCTTAGCCCTGCCAAATGCAAGGCCACAGGCTGCTGCAGGGGGGATGAGCGGGCACATTCAGCTACCCTGCGCACTTGCAGCCAGGATCACAGCCGGCCCAGCTGCAGGCAGGTAAGTTTCTTTTAATCTGTTTTCTTTATTACTGCCTGGGTTTGGGGGGGATGGGAGATCGAGACCCCCACAGTACAAGAGAGAGTGGGGTAGGGGAAGGGTGAATCATTCACCCCTGACCCACTATCTGCTGCACTGTGGGTCCCCCACAGTACATACAGCAGCGAGCCACCCACCTGCACCCCTGGACAAGCCACCAGGCTCCAGTTGTCCCATGATCTGGCCCAGCCAGGGCATGGGACAACCAGAGCCCAACTGCTCCTCCAGAAGCATGGTGCCAGGCAGCCAAAGGGGTTAATTAGTTAACTCCGTTGTAGGATAGTACTGTCCAGGACAAATACTATCCTATGGTGGATTTATCAGGTGTGCCACAAGGTATGAGCAGATGGTGACCGGGGCTGGCTGGGACACAAGGATGCTACAGTGCAGGGGCTTCCTGCCAGCTAGCCCTGCACTGTACCACCCTTTTGCCCCAGCCAGCCCCTCTGCAGCACAGTCAGCCAGGACAGAGCAGCTCCAGGCTTGCACGGTGACTCCCTGGGCCCCTTGCATAGGCAGAGAAAGAGAAAAAATCAGGGGGGGGGCTAAGCATGCATGTGTGCATGTGCCCCACACCATGGGAAAGTCTGAGGGGGGAACGGAAAGGGCCACAGAGGAAAGCAGTGTTGCTCGGCACTGTGCTGCACTGGCCCCAGCCGCTGCACCAGCCCCAGCCCCGGCCCTGGCCCCAAGTGCCTCCCTGCCCCAGCACCAGCTGCACACCAGGTGGGGGGACCCCAATCCAGGAGCTGGAGCGGGGCCAGCCCTGGTTGCACTGCTGGGCCAGAGGGGGCAGAGTCCCTGGGACCCCCATGCCCGCCCTGCCCCATGTCATCCCCAGAAAGAGCCTGGCAGCTCCTCTAGAGGCATTGCGCTGGGCAGCTGGGGGGTGGGGGCACGTGGCCCCCTGATCTTTGCACGGGACAAGGGCAGGCTGCAGATATGAGCTGGGCTCAGACTCTGTTCCCTGCCTGTGTGCCTTGCCACTGTCACTTTGAAAATAGTGGGCGCTGCCATGTGCCTCGCTGCCCAGTGGCAAGACACAGATGGCGGCGCCCACTGCTTTTGAAGTGGTGGCGGTGAGGTGTGGAGGCAGGGAGCAGAGGATGAGCCCATCTCATGGCTGTGGCCTGTTCTTGACTTGTGCAAAGATCAGGAGGCCACATGTCCCCCACCCAACCTCCCCCAGCTGCCCGGTGCCATGCCTCTGGAGAAGCTGCCAGGCTCTTCCTAAGAACAACATGGGGTGGGGAGGCACAGAGGTTGCAAGGGCCCTGTCCCCTCCAGCCCAGCAGTGCAGCTGAGGCTGGCCTCACTCCAGACCTTGGATCTGGGTCCTCCTGGCTGGTGTGCAGCTGAGGCTGGGGCTGGTATGGTAGCTGGGGCCAGGAGGCAGCCAGGGCTTGCGCTGTGCTGGGCAATGCCACTCCCCCCCCCCAAGGCCCTTTCCCCTTCCCCCACAGAGTTTCCCATGGGGGGGAGGGGGAATGTGTACTCACATGCACACACGCTCAGTCCCCCCTCTTGATTTTTTTTCTTCCACTGCCTATGCAGGGGGCTCAGGGAATCACCATGGAAGCTCGGACCTGCTCTGTCCTGGCTGACCGTGCTGTAGAGGGGCTGGCTGGGGCAAAAGGGTGGTACAGTGCAAGGCTAGTTGGCAGGCAGCCCCTACACTGTAGCATCCTTGTGCAACAGCCAGCCCCGGTCACCATCTGCACATGCCTTGTGGCACACTGAATAAATCCACCATAGGATAGTACTTGTCCCAGATAGTACTATCCTACAACAGAGTTAACTAGTTTACTCTGACCTAATAGCACCATACGTGTAGCCGATGACACTTTACTGTGGAGCTAATTAGTCAACTCCACAGTAAAAGCACACATAAATACACCCAATGAAAACAAATACAATTGCTTTCTTAAAGATTCTGCATATTCATTCTGCTGCTTCTTTATGAATTAGGCATCTAAGTTCAGAATATTTTTTAAGCATGCAAAAAATATGTCTGAAAATATATTGTGAAAAGAAGGAATATATCCTAAAATCCATGATACCATTTTATGAATACTCTTTTGTACCAGTATATTGACACTTGAGATGGTCCTAAACTGCCCAGTACAGGTCTTGTTCCAATCTTCTGGGATACTCAGTAAGGAATTTTGACTCGGGTACAGAAATTTGGTGAGATATTACTCTAAAAAATAAAAACCTAACATTTAATACTTTGTGTAAGAAAAAGCAGTATGCATTAACAAATAAAGCCTTCTTCCTCCAATACTGTTTGTATTCCAGACAAGTCTGCTTGGCCCGGTAACTAAAACACAAGTTTCAGAGGTGAGAGTTTTTATCTTGGCTCTTAGATGTTAAAAAGTGAATAGAAAGTAACTGCTTATCAAAGCCTGTTGTTCAAATTCCCGTCATAATACAGAAACTAAGGTCAGCTTATTAATAGCTCAGAATAATACCCTCCTCTACTGATACATACAGGAATGACCATGAGTTGTCATGAGGGACAGATCAGGACAAATTATTTTGATAAAAAAAACTGAGACTAGAAGTACTTCTTCAATAAAGGATTACCAGCTGCAAATCAACAATTGGAGTAGAAGCTCCATTACTGTGTGTGTGCTGCAAATGGATTTACCTTGAATTCAGATGGAAAATAGAAAATATTGAATGATGTTTCATCTATGCCTTCTCTGGGTACTAATGGTTCACCTTATGTGTTCCTTCATAACAATTGTAACTCAAGGATGCTCACAATCAAATTGCCATCAATCACGTCATTATCTATTTTGAGGGCAAAGGTAACACTTCTGTTCCTTTTTCAGCTATATTACTAAGCATATGGTGGTACACTGAGGTTGAGTTCCATACAAAACCTTAAAACAAACTAGCTTCAAGGAATTTCTTTCAAAATGATTATATGGTAAATGTTCAAGTAATGAAATGCACCTCATCATTTTCTTCATATGGAGACGAGCCCTTTCCACTAGAACTGTTAATACCAAGGCACCCCATTTGACTGCACACAGTCATGCTTAGCTGGAAGAGAATTGTAATTAATAAGTAGCCTTGTTAATCAAATAGCAGCCAATTAAATACACCAGCAATAACATATAAGTTCCCATTCAAAATGAACTCATTACTGTTCAGTTCAACAGAAAGACAAATGACATACTACCACAAGTAAGTGTAGCTTCTCTAAAGCACAGTGTAACACACAATTTCCAAAACTACAATTTAAAGCCATGCCAGGCCAATTTGGAATCAGCACAGTTTATCATATAGGTCTGATTTTGCAACTCTTCCTCATACTGAGTAGGAAGCCTTACTCTGTGATTAGTTCCATTTTTTTAAGAGGACTAATTGTAGAGGATTTCACTCACTCTGTGGGTGAAACCCTGGCCCTTATGAAAGTCAATAGGAAGACTCCCACTGATTTCTATAGGGCAAGGATATAATGAAGTAATCTGGCCTGCAATTCACAGTACTAAGAACATCAAGTATTCAATTCCAGAAAACGACAGGTGACAAAATTATTTCTTTCACATAAACCAATGGTTTATTGAATGTTTGCCTTGGCAACACAGTAGGGATACATGTGCATCAGCAGCTAAATGGCAATGGCTTTTTTTTTACAGAAGGATACACTCATTTTGTGTTGAAATTTCCTGCAAGTACTTGTGCCCAAAGTAACCTTTTGTAGGTTAGGTAATTGAAGTTCGTCAGTATAAGCATATTTAGGTATGTTATTCTAACCTTAACTTTTCGTTTGAAATTAGTATTTTTTCAAGCTCTTGGTTCATTAGATTGTAAAAGCTTGTTTTAAAAATCATGGAAATCCACAACAAAGTCTGACTTTTTCTTAGCTCATTCTTATGTGCCTAGAAATTTTAGTATATCTGGCCAATAGCATACAGCTTCAACAATGCAGGCCAGAGGGAAATATTTTAGCTTGTGAGTTTAAGAATTATTTTTTACCATTTTGCTTGATGGTTTTAATTCATAAATGTGCTGATATTTAAAAAGCATACACATTGGCGTAAGCAGTCCCACTGAATAACATAAGCAGCATTCTTCTTGTTAGTAGCCAAGATGGTCTTGCTTTTGTTGCCTTGGCTTATACCTCTAAGTCTATTTGAACAGGGAATCTTTTAAGTTTTACATTATTGACATTTCAATACAGCCATGTTTTCAAAACACTCAGTAAGTTACAGTTACAGTTCATATGTGTACCTGTTAGATTTATAATCCTTAAAAAAAAAGAAAGCATGAAAATTCTTTATTACTCTACACAAGTAGAACTTTGCCTTCTTTAATATGGAAACCAACTATGCAAACAGCATTTATTCTTATTATGAATAACTTTATTCACATGAACAGTCCACTGAGTTCAGCAGGACCAGCTGTGTGAGCTATCTATATGAACAAGAACTCACCAGACCACAGAAGTCAGCAATCATTTGAGATGAGATCATAGCATGGCTTGACCTAGGTTTCTAATCAGGTGAGGAAGCCACACCCATACACTTCTGTGTAGCTTTGTGGATTGAGGCCTAATGAGAACACTGTCTCCCTGCTATTATCCCCTCCTTCAGTACATGGGTAGCGAGCACAAGTGCAGAGGCATCATTATGGGGAAGACTGAATTTCCTGCTAGTATGAACCAGTGCCAGATTGCCCTTTGGAGTAGCTCCAACGTGTATTTCCTTCTGGGGGAACTCCAGGATAGGTGCACATGACCAAGAGCAGTGGCAAGACCATAGTCTAGACTCCATATTGTATCTTCTTCCATCTATTCAGGACCCAGTCTTCCAGTCCTCACTAATGAGGAAGTCCTTGTCCCTCTCAGGATTCCCACTGATTCCCTAATAATTTCCAACTGATTTCTCGTTCCAAAAATAAGGCCCATTCACATAGGTAAGGTTTTATAATGTGGTGTCCATAGTTGTCAGTCATTAAGGGCAATATTTTTGCAAGTCATGGCTGATTTTGAATGCCCAATTTGAGATAAATATGGGTAACATTCAAAGATGCTGGGCACCCATAGCTCCCATGCACATAAATAACACTTGTGAGCAACCAGCATTTCTGAACAATCAGTCCCAAAGCATCTCTGCTAGGCATCAAAGCTGGTGGCTGGTTTAGAAAATGTGGTTAGCACTGTGGTTCCAATGTGAACAGAAACTGACCCCAAATAGCATTTCAGTCAAATATATTTTTTATTTGTATGTCTCTTTCTGAAAAAGGTAATGCATTAATTCAAAGTTTCTCATGTAAACCAACATTCATAGCACTAGGTAGGAATTAGCCACTTCTTTATGATCGTGCATTACCTTCATTGGGGGCGGTCTCACATCTGCAACTCTTGGAACCTGCTCTTTTGTTTCTTCTGGAAATGTGTTGTTCCCTGTCAGAAAATTCTCCATTGTTGTTGCAGAAATCTGTGGTATATCATTAGTCCCAGGAACGGTTTTAAATTTTGTGGTTGCTTTGTACTTTTCCTGAAGAACTGTTCTAGTGAGTCTTTGATCTCTAACACTATCATCAGAATCAAAAAGACTTCCAGAAAACTTGGAAATGGGCTCCTGTTTGTTAAAGAGAAAAAAAGACAAAGCTACAGAAGTGTGGATACCTAATTACTGTCTAGACATTACATGGGCTACAGTTAGAGCTATTCTCTATCACATCAGCATAGGTCGGGTAATTCCACGGAAGGCACTGTGCCCTAAGGTTCAATGCTCCACACATATTGCCCCTGAAGTTACTTCTCTGGAAAAATCTTCCATTTCTCAGGGTTCTATTTAATGTTGTGTTATTCTCAAAAGACCAAGGGATTACATTTATAAAATGATAAAACTTGTTTATTCAGAGAGCCTTCTTAGCCTACTGATCAGCTAATCCCCCCCAGCAAATATTCAAGTAAGGGATATGCAAGTAAGAGAAGGAGCTAGGTAAAGTAAAGGTGGGTAGAGGGTGGCTGAACCTTCCATGCAGAGGTGTAGGGAGCCCTTTCAGCGCCCAAAGCTGGGGAGGGGGAGGAGGGAATTGCGATGAACACAAGAAAGTGGAGATTGGGGGAAGTGAAGTCTTACTGCTCAGGGCTCTCTTCACTTGCATGGAAGCTATGGCAGTTCAGCTGCTGCAAAAGAGTCATCAGCGTGGGTTTTCTTGGGGCCCTTCCTGATGCCCTGTTCTCTCCTCCCCCCCAAGCCTCTGGTCACAAGGCTGGAAGGTGGTGCCTCCCATGGCAAAACCTTGGGAGGTTGCAGGGCACCATTCCACCCCTGCCCTCAGATATACTTCTGGGTGCAGGACTGTGCCTGCCCAGCTCCAGTACATTCAAAAAGCCTAAGCCTGAATTGATTCAGTCTTTGCAGGTTAGTCTAACTTGGCTAGGTTAACTCAGTTTTGCAACCTGACAAACATCCCAGAAATGCAGGCACATGCCTGCAGGGGCTCAGGCTAGAAGCCAAGAGTTCTAAAGCAGCCCTCCCTTCCTTCCACAACACTGAGCTGAGGGTGGGGCATGGCTAGGCCCTGGCAGGTTGCTCTAATTAGCTCAGCTGGGAATTGATAACAGTGTTTATCACCCCTAACTCAGTGTTTATCACCCATTAAGAAAACAACAGGAGGACATTACCAGCTACCTGTTGACTCTGCCTGTTAATTCAGCACGGACCATAGTCAGCATGTGGTCAGCTAGCTAATATGCAGACACCTCCTCAGCAAGGCTGAGGGGAGGGGGGGAATTTCTGCTTAACAGGGGGTGGTGAGGGGGAGCAGCCTACAACTCTCTGGAGCTGCAGCCAGGGAGCAGAAGGGGGAGGGCAGCCCTGCTGTGGAGCAGAGTCCTGCCCAGTCCAGAGAGCATGGTGGGATATTGGGGTAGTCTGGTTTATCTTTAACCAGCCAGGTGCCTGGGACAGACATTGCATAAACCCATTTGACCCAAATCAGTTTAGTCTGATACTACATTCAACCAGATTTATCTCAAACTGGTTCCAGCCATTTTCAAACTGGTTTCTATGAACTGAACATCTGTTCTGTTACAGGTTTAAACCAGTTTCTGATCACTTAAACTGGTTTATGTGTAATGTCTGTCCCTAGCCCTGGGGAGAGGGGGCGTTACTAGCACCCCCTCTAAGTTAGCCCCTGGTTCTGCTCACCTGTCCTAGGTACTTTACAACTTATATGTGTTCTGAACATGTGGAGGTTGGATGTGGATCACAAGGGCAAGGCAGCCTCAGACTGGTCTGCCTGTTACACAGAGTCTCTTTTGCAGATAGCTGGAATTTTAGTACCATTGTGCTAATGGTGTTGTGCTGCCTGGAAGTGTGGAGGGGGCAAAGGACCCACATACATGGTACAGAGGAACAATGCCTCCATTCAGGTCTACATCTTCTGTAGATTCCCAGAGATCTGTGAAGTCGCCTTGGGCTCTGTATGAAGGAAATGGTTTAGCTCATTGCTTTTTAGCTCAACCCAGAAGAGGTTGTAAAGAAGACACAGTAAACCATTCAAAGAAAACATATCCAACAAGAAAGGTCTTGTTTCCAAGAATACCGCAGGATTCCTATCCTTCACAGATCTTCTCTAGCTTTCAAAATTCAACTTAGCTCTCCTCTTCAAATTTGGTATGTGTTATATAGTTAATTGACTACTGAAGATGTGGATAAGATCTTCATACCACATCCTTACATTTTTACTTAAAAGTGAGATTGTATAACAAATCTATTCAGGAAACTTATAGGCATGTACAGTTGGTCTTACACAGGGAGTGCCAAGATATAGTTACCCTTTATATAGCAAAATTCAACATTTTTCATGAATATTTCACCTAAAAATGGATGATACAATATAGCCCCTACCAAGGAGGAATACTCTGCTCTGGTCTGGACCTGCAGAAAGCAAACAAGGAAAGCCAAGGCTGCGATGGAACTCCAGCTAGCTACAAATATCAAGGAAAATAAAAAGTCCTTTTTTAGATATGTGGGGAGCTGGAGGAAAAGCAAGGACAACATTGGACCCCTGCTAAACTAGACGGGGCAACTGACAATTGACACCCAGGAAAACGCAAACTTGCTAAATGGGTACTTTCCATCAGTTTTTCACCAGTCCCATGGGATAGCCCTGCCCACTGTGGCTCAGGGAGGCCCGGGTGAAGGAGATTCCTTGCGCTCCATCAAAACTGACCTCATGAAGGAACACCTTGACATGCTGAATACTTTCAAGTGAGCCGGCCCTGATGGGTTACACCCAAGGGTACTCAGGGAGCTGGCGAGCGTCATAGCTCAGCCCCTGGCATAGATCTTCAAGAGCTCTTGGTGCTCTGGTGAAGTGCCCAATGATTGCAAGAGGGCCAATGTGGTGCCTATCTTCAAGAAAGGGAGGAAAGTAGATTCAGCTAACTACAGGCCCATCAGCCTGACCTCTATCCTGGAGAAGGTCCTGGAGAAGATTATTAAAGAGGCCATCCTTAACCGACTAGCTGAAGGCAATATCCTGAGGGATACCCAGCATGGGTTTGTTGTGGGTAGGTCTTGCCTGACCAATCTCATTTCCTTTTATGACCAGGTGACCTATCACCTGGACAAGGGGGAAGAGAGCGACGTTATATATCTTGACTTTAAAAAAGCCTTCGATCTGGTATCCCACGATCAGCTCTTGGCTAAACTGCCTAACTGCAGCCTCGACCTCACCACAATCCACTGGCTGGGGCATTGACTCCGTGCTAGGACCCAAAGGGTGGTGGTTCAATGGAAGCCAATCGTCTTGGTGCACTGTGACCAGTGGGGTCCCTCAAGGCTCTGTCCTAGGGCCTATACTATTTAACTTCTTCATCAATGA